GTGTGTGTGTGTGTGTGTGTGTGTGTGTGTGTGTGTGTGTGTGTGTGTGTGTGTGTGTGAGAGAGAGAGTGTGTGTAAGAGTAAACAGCAACTACAGTATATGTAGATATCTTAAAATCGTTGCAGGTCTCTCTCCATGTTTCCCTCTACGTTTGCTATCAGTGCATCTGCTTAAATTGACGTACAAGCTAAGAAATGTATCTCTACACAGCGCTATGCATGTTTCTCCGTGTGTGTGTGTGTGTGTGTGTGTGTGTTCTCATAGTGACCAATCAGTATGATAACCTTTTTTTACAGAGGTTGCAAAGAGCACTGGGAAGAATTTCTAAATATACATTTAAAAACTTGCAGATACAATACAAGGTGGATTAAGCTGTACAGATCTGCAATTTGAAATATGTGATCACAGAATGATTAATTGATTGGTATTGATTAAGAAATAAATGATACTACTGTCTCACTCGTTACTCATCTGTTGTTGTTTTTTAACAACTCTTTGTGAATTAATTCTTTGTTTTTATTATTTTTGCTAGTGGATGGTTAATGTCTTATTGTTTTCTTTGTTATTGTTGATTTGATTTAGGTTTAATGGAATCCCTGTTGTTGCATCCCATCATAAAGTGAACTGTTTCTGTAGAGAAGCTGAATTTTCAGTGGAGACTTTGGAATGAAAGGCTGACTGCCACTGTGTCTGTGCTGCAGGGAGAAGTGGTGTCACATGACCCAGGAGGAGAGGGATGACAGCTCCAAGATGGACGAGAACATCGCCTTCGGCCAGCTGGGGTGAGGGGCTGCCAGAGAATAAAGTGGGGGGGGGGGAGCTGAGAGCTCAGAGGAGTTTCTCCAGGTTGCTCAGTAAGGCCTCCCAGTGGTGAAACAAGTTAATGCTCCCAATAATATAAATAAAAGGAAGATGGGTGTTAATAAACTGTACGTCTGCATTTATAAAGGACATGAACCTAAGTTTTAATACAACTAATATGTCTGTCCTTGTATAGTCAGATCATAAATGATATAGTGGACCATGAGGCAGAATGTAAACCCAATAGTTAAAAAGTAAATGATGTTACATTAGATACTCAAAAGAGCTCAAAGATGTCCTTCTTATTGGATTTACATACCACATTATTAGATGTTCCCTACACACAATAGGGCTAGACCAGATCGCAGACTCATTAGATGTTCACTATTGTGCATGTTTTTAGCTAATTAATTATACGCACAAAGTATAGTCCAAGTGTATTCAAAGGGAGGAGTAGAGACCGTCTAAGCACAACTGTACAAAAGTTGGAAAAGAGCAAAGGGAATATGAATGGAAGAAATACACAGTGCCTAACATCTGGCCTGTGTGTGTGGGCTGTAGGGGAAGGGCATGAACGGAGGGCAAGCATTTTTGTATTAGATACTATACATTTCATTTTCAATACTTTACTTTTTAAATATCAAGGTTATCTTCATTTCATTTATATTGACACACACTGCGTTTCTAATGGCACTTATGGCACCATATTGTTCTTGAAATGATGAATACAGAATGTAGCGTATGTTTGAAATAACTTCCATTTGTACTGAGATGAGTTTGGTGCTATGTGTATTTTCAGGACATTCACTCATAACATGCTGGCGTTTGGGCTCAGTAAGAAGCTTTGCAATGACTTCCTGAAGAAGCAGGCGGTCATTGGGAGCCTGAATGAAGGTAAAACATTGAAGCAATAAATACATCTATACATTCTCTCAGGCTTTCAGCCTAAATACTTCCTTGGCGTTTTTAGATGTAAATCATGTAATGGAGTAAGATAGTAATCCGCAAACATCAGCATACACTTACGGTACTCACATTTAGCAAGCTTCAGGTCTCCACAAGGGAGAGCTGTTGTATGGTCTAAAACCTCCACAGTCTCTGCTCTACAAATTACATGGGACTTGGAAATCAGGTCTTACTCCTGCTATACAAAAATAACCCTGCAAATTCAAAACTGATGTGTGTTTTAACCCTTCGCAGAACAGTACAAGTTGCTGAGTGACCACATAGAGAAAATGGCATCAGAGTAAGTTTGAGGATGCGACTCGAAGTCTCCACAGGACAGATTAACAACATGAGAAGTTTATCCGCAACCCACAGACCAACTCTCCGTCTGACTGTTGATGCATCTGTGTGCTACACTGCTGAATATCATATTAACCTACAATACTGAAGTGTTCCCCAGCAGAGCCCTGCTCCTCTGCACCCGGCCATGTATCAGCAATAATACAACATCATCAGCTAGTGCAAAATGTAATACACTTTCAAACTTCCTAATGTGATGTAATTGGAAAAGAACTTGGAGCATAAAGTGAAACCGTCTCGAATAATACCCAAACAGCCTCAGCATGGTGTCAGAATCTTGTTCGCATGATGTGTGAGCTATATATACTCTATGCCTTTGTCTCCTGGGTACACACACTAATTACTTGTTGGTTCTAACAGCATCTGGTGAGCCATGGCACTGAGTATCGTCCTGCCTGGTTACATTGGACAACAGACAGCTCAAACCAGACTTGGGTAGAATAGTAAAGTCATTTCAGTTTATTACTGAATACTCATCTGTGCTTTGTGCAACACTGTAGAATCCTTTATGGCAATACAAACAATAAAATACCGCTTTACCATAATATGTAACATGTACCATATAACCTTATCACTGGCACCACAACAATTCCCTGTATGCCCTGTAGTCTCTTCATTGGTTTAGTTCGACACCTTGAGAAGCACACTCAATAAGGCCGGACTTAGCTTAGCATAAAGCCTGGAAACAGAGAGAAATGGCTAGACTGGCTGCCTTTTAGAAAGGAATAACATTTTCCTACCGGACCATCCTTGGTAGTAATGCTTAGTTAAGAGTGTTATTAGAAAAGAAGAGCAGCAGTCTTCCTACTGACGAGAGGAATCTAATACCACTCTCTTTTTACTTTGGCACACATGTACATTCTAGTGGAAATTATTTTTTGTTTTCCTTAATTAATAACTTCATTATACCCTTGAAGCCATTTGAGAACACTTACCTTTCCAAATTAATTAAATGAAAGTAAATGTCTTTCATTCAGATGCTCTGTTAACCAACCAAACACTAATGCAGAGCCTATACTGTTCCTCTGTTACACATTTCCTGCGAGATAAAATAAACAACAACTTCTGCATGCAAATACAATTCATCCCTGTGTTTGGAGATGGTTATACAGTAAGTAGTTTATCTTCATTTGGTTGAGCTTCAATGCCAGATGTTGCCTGAACCACCATACACATTTTCTCCTGCTGCATTTATATCTTTGCATGTAGCTAGCATGTTCAAACGGCATCAAGCAAGTGTCAAAAGTGCAAATAATCTGTGAAGCGACATTTCCTGTTCATCCTACCACTGCAGGGTAGCCTCGTGTAATGATGAAAGCTATCTGCGTTGAATTCCCGGATAATGCACTTTCTGACAGTTTGAATCCCATTTCAGTTGGATAATCTGTTTTAATCTATTGTGTCGATAGATTGAGATGATAGATCCTCATTTGTAATTACTGCACATATTCTCCATAGGTTAAACAATTGATCATGTATTTCTGTTTGTAAATTGTATTTTTTTTTATGGAAAATGTTTGATCAATAGATGTTATTGATCATTGTGTCCATGAGGAACATCTACCTGCAGTTCTGACCCTGTAGTTCCACTCATACATCCAAGCCCTGTGTTACGTGCTCTTTTAAAGATTTGCATATAGTGTTGTGCAATAGTCTCTGATGTTGATGTAATTCATTCCTTTACAGCTTAGTGACATGTTTTCACCCATGTGCATAATCATACAAATCATATAGAAAGCCTTGCAGACCTGTTTTCCCCCTTTATTGACTCTTCCAATTCTCTCAGGGGTCCCGTTGCACGTTGTCTAATAATATTGAGCTGTATGTTGTACTTGTTGGCACAGCATGAGCCATTTGCACTACATGTATCTTCTGAATATAATGAACTATGTTATATTGATGCCTTTTATATTTGTTTAGCATGGCAAGTTCATGCTCTATCTGTTGTTAAATGTTGATGGTAGTTTGTCTTTTGTAGCAAGGTAATAACAAATGTTTTACTGTATTGCCTTTATGTCAATTATCAACAAGGTGAAATGTGTAATTAAACTTACATGAAGTTGTTATGGGATTTCCCTCTTGGTGACCCCCTGTTGTGATGACAATGTGGTTTCGGGTTTTCATGCTTGCATTTTTGTACTTTTGTCTAATTGGTTTCCACATTTTTTCAGTCAGGGTATCGGAAATATTTTCGAGCCCCCCCCCCCAACCCAGTTCCCACCGAGATTGGATGAGTTGTCTATAGTTGTACAAACATTACCTTTTCTCTGCTAGTAATATCTAGACACAAAGATCCAACTTTACTTTGACATGTTATTATGGATTGAAAATGAACCAAAGTCCTTGTATTGGCGGATGATCCTGTGCACTGTGGAATAATGAGGCCTAATTGAAACTAGAAGGCCTACTACCCTGAGTAGTAGATGTTTAAATTCACATATTTTTAATTAAAATATATCAATCATTAACTAATATTTGTACTGCAGGTTGCAAATAATCCCATCACTATTCCATTCCTATTCCACACATAGCCTACCTATCAATGAATTGTCGTTAGGGATGGGTATCATTAAGATTTTAACGATACTACTCTT